AAAAGCTACCTTCACCGAGAAATGGCTCACGACATCGGAATTCCTGGCTGGACTGGCCAGAGAGCTAAAGCATGCAAAACCCTCCTCCACGACTGCCTGAAAATGGTGGTTGTCACAGAAAAAGATATAGAGTTTGGAGCGCTCATCGAATCCGTCAGACACTCACTTTACCGGTTCGAGATTTGGACCGTTTCCATAAGGGAATTGTACAAGACGGACTTGAACGGGTTGCTTGGACCCCGTTTTGATAGACCCAGAACACAGCGCGATGATCTGTACAGCGAGGTCATGAGGCTACTGGATGAGCTTCACAGATTCCTCGGAGACTGTTCGTATTCAATGACCTCAGAAACTCACGTATGACGATTCCCAGCTGACCATCACAGTGATGCAAATTTTGAATGGTACCCGGCAACAGTGAAGATGGGTCAAGAGTTCCATAAACACACCACCAGATGATATGGATATAAGCTCTTCCGAAGATTCAGACAGTGAATTTGCAGACTACATCAAAAAGAATGGGCTGGAAACCGCAGACTCGGAAACCGTCACCGAATCGAACGAACTATGTCGGTGTATTGGGGATACCATCACTAGTGTTATGAGGATAGCGATGCAAGTTGACGACTCAGTACTCCACTCCAAGTTTGATTTTTGTCGACTCAAGAATGCCGACTCTGTGGAACCAGATATGTACAAGGACCAGGGGGACTCCCAATACGATAGGAAGCAATAGGGAGTAAACAATAAAGATTGGGAAGTAACCAAGACCAATTCTTGCAGGAGGAAAGATTGTGAAAGGCTGACTCGAGGTGAAGTTGTCCTCCAAGCCTGCCTCTTAGGATACAAGGCTGAGTAGCTTTAACAACCGCCCCATGCCCATTCTCCGCCGCCATATGCAGCGCTATGCATCCTTTCCCATCCTTAGCACCTGCGTCAACCTTGCCAGTACTACATGTAGCCGAATAGAGGCCTTCAGATTGTACTATACAGCAAGAAGAATTAAGATGAGCCTAGCTACTCCATTTCGACACAGTAGCCAAGGACGACAGCGTGTCAGGATGCTCAGGCCCAAGGACTCGCTGCTGAGCCTCAACACAGTCTTGCATCAACGCTAAGGCATCTTCATGTCGACCTTGACTATTCCACGTGAAAGCAAGGTTGGCCATGCTCGTCAGCGTGTCGGGATGATCGGCCCCGAGCTTCGCCTTGCGAGTCTCCATCACCTGCACCTCCAGCTTCTCGGCCTCCTCCCACCGGCCCTGGTCCAAAAGCGTCAACGCCAGGTTGGCCATGCTCATCAGCGTGTCGGGTCCTGTTGCGCGGGTAATGGAGGGTGTTTGAAGGAGACCCTTTTATTTTTCTTTGGGTGTTGCGCTCTATCTGTGTGTTTTCTTGCTTTTATGAAAGCATCAGCCGCGCAGTTGGAGTTCTGGTGCAACTACATCGACATAGCTACCACCGACTGAAGACGGGAAACGGCA